CCACCGGTCCGCTGCACCGCCACATCATGCGGTAATTGGGGTTGTTGTCCATAAACCAGCTCAAATGGGCTCATTCCGGTCGCCGAGGACTTGTGTAAATTGTAACAGAATTGGGCCATGTCCAACAAATCCAACCAATTATCCTGGCTTGCGGTCACATAATGCCTTAGGTACTCTTCAAGCAACTGGTTCATCCTCTCAGTTTGGCCATCAGTTTGAGGATGATAAGCCGTAGAGAACTTCAGCTCGGTCCCCATCAAATTGAATAGAGTCGTCCAGAACCGTCCCGTGAAGCGAGGATCGCGATCACTCACTATGTCATCGGGCATGCCAAAGTACTTCACTACATGCTTGAAGACAAGCTCGGCAGCAGCGTCTGCTGAGCACGAACCTGGGGCAGCAACAAAGATCCCATACTTTGAGAACCGATCCACAATAACCAACACCGAGGCCATACCCTTTAACTTCGGAAAACCGCTAATGAAATCCAAAGACAGCGACTGAAATGGTTTGTCCGGAATAGGCAAGGGTTGCAGCAGACCCGCCTCTTTCTTCCTTTCGGTCTTGTCTTGCTGGCAAACAAGGCACGTCCGGACATAGGACTCAACATCGTCCAACATTTTCGGCCAATAGAATTTCCTCATCATCAAAGCATACATGCGCTCAACATCGGGATGGCCAGCCCACTGAGAATCATGATAATCCTTCAGCAGCTCCCGCCTCATTCCTCCCGATGGTATATACATCCTTCGACCTTTGGCGTAGAGTAAGCCGTCCTCTAGCCAATATTTGCGCACTTCACCGGTTGCCACTTGCTCGGTAAGCTTCACATAGACAGGATCTTTAAGGGACTCAGCACGAACTTTCTCAACAAAATCAGACTCAACAGCATACAAGGCCAATACATAGGACACCACAGCCTTTCGACTCAAAGCATCAGCAACATCATTGTGTTTCCCCGGCCGATGGACCCAATCGAAGTCAAACTCCCCTAAGAACTCTTGCCACCTTGCCTGTTTTGGGGACAGCTTCTTCTGAGTTCGAAAGTAAGTATTAGCTACATTGTCCGTAACAACCGTGAACCTTGTTCCCAACAGGTAGTGACGCCACATTTCCAAGCAATGGATTACGGCCGTCATTTCCTTCTCGTGGGTACTGTATCGAGTTTCAGCATCCTTCAATTTCCGACTTTCAAAAGCAATAGGATGTTTATCCTGGACCAACACCCCACCAATGGCACGATCTGAAGCATCGACTTGTACCTCGAATGGCTGGTCGAACTTGGCCAACTTCAGTATCGGCTCCTTGGTCACAGCTTGCTTCAGCAAATCAAAGGCATCTTGTTGAGCTTTGTCCCACTCCCAACACCTGTCTTTCTTCAGTAAGTCCGTCAATGGGCTGACTACCTTCGAGTAGCCTTTTATGAAAATCTTCGATAATAATTAGCCAAACCCAAGAAAGAACGCAACTCGGTCACTTTGGTTGGTTCGGGCCAATCAGCAACAGCCCGCACCTTTTTAGGGTCCATGCGAATACTTCCTCGGCTGATGATGTGCCCAAGGAAGGTGATTTCCTCCCGACAGAATTCGCATTTCTCCTTCTTAGCATACAACTGATTTTCCCTCAGCTTTTCAAGCACGCATCGCAAGTGCTTAACATGTTCCTCGACCGTCTCAGAATAAATCACAATATCATCCAAGTATACCACCACAAACTTGTCCAAGTACTCGTACAGCACATCATTCATCAGATTACAGAATGTAGCAGGGGCATTGGCTAACCCGAAGGGCATCACCAAGAATTCGAACGACCCGTACCTTGTCACGCAGGTGGTCTTTGCCTCGTCACCCGGAGCAATCCGCACCTGCCAGTACCCAGACCTTAGATCAATTTTCGTGTACCACCTTGCTTGAGCCAACTTGTCAAACAGGTCCAAGGCATTTGGAATTGGATACTTATTCTTAATGGTGACTTTGTTCAAGGCCCGATAATCCACGCACATGCGCATCGATTCATCTTGTTTCCGTTGGAACAGGACCGGAGAACCGTAAGGGGCCTTCGAAGGTTGTATCAACCCAGCACCAAGTAACTCGTCCAACTGCTTCCTCAATTCGGCCAGCTCGGCTGGTGGCATCCGATATGGAGGTTGTGCAGGAGGTTGAGAACCCGGTTCCAGTTCAATCCGATGGTCACAAGGTCGACGCGGAGGCAATTCCTTAGGCAACTCGGGAGGCATCGTATCCTTGAATTCATCAAGTAATTCACCAACAGCATCCGGTACTTCATGAAATACGTCTGGTTTGGTCTCAATCAAAGCCGCAAGGTACGTTGTGTGGCCATGTCTTAGTCCATCGCGGACTTGCAAAGCTGACACCATGCTAGTATCTTTCTTTGGAACAGCAAACCTGACAGCGAGAGCTTGCTCTCTCCCATCAATATCCAACAACAGCTTGCCTTCGTGGGGTTTTGGGAAGACTTTCGCCTTCTTCATAAAATCCATTCCGAGAATCATCGCAAAATCATCAAGAGGGACGATGTGCAACGCACACAATCCTTTCCAAGGCCCAACTTGCATCTCGACTTGGGCCACGCCCTTGATTGGTTCACCCTGGGCGTTAACGGTTTTCATCTTTCCCTCGTGAGGCTCGACAGCAAGGCACAACTTACGGGCATACTCCTCGTTCACAAAGCTGTGGGTAGCACCGCAATCCACCAAGGCCATGATATCTTTGTTCCCTATGGCCACCTTGGTATACATCAAGCCGTCACATGCAACAGGGACTTTCTGAACTTGGTTCAACAACAGCATAGAGTTCAGGCCCATGGTAGCTTCATCAGCGTCCTTGGACTTGCCCTGCACCACTAGGGCATTTGCTTTGGCATTCAAGCGTTTGGGACAATTGCGCATCCGGTGATCACCATCGCACAAAAAGCAACCGCGGTTAGATCGGTCCACAACCAAGGTTTGGTTCTTGGACTCTCGGGACTTGTTCTCCTTCTTATCCCCCGCTTTCTTCTTGTACTTGCCACCATCTTTATGCTTTTTGAATTTCCCCCCTTTCTCCTTTGTCGAGTCCTTCTTCTTATGACCCGACTCAGGTCCGTCAACGACTTTGAAATCAACGAGTCGTTCAGCCGCAGCAATAGCCGATGGAAGGTCGCTCACACCTTGCCTTCTCAACTCAGCTTGGGCCCAGCCTTGAAGACCGGCCATGAAGTTGAACAATTTATCCTTCTCCGACATTTCAGAGATATCCAACATAACAGAAGTAAATTCCGTCACATAATCCCTTACAGCACCCGTATGCCGTAGGTTACACAGCGTGTTCCGGGCAATCCAATCAGTGTTACCCGGGAGAAACTGATCCTTCAACAAACCCTTCAATGTGTCCCACGTATTGATCCCCTCGCGATTTGCACTGGCATCATCAGACACCCTAGCCCGCCACCAAAGCTTTGCATCCCCAGCCAAGAACATACTCGCTATTGAAACTTTCTGGTCATCTGGGACTCCGGCAGCCTAGAAATAGGTTTTCATATCCCAAAGGAAATTTTCGACTTCCTTTGCATCACGAGATCCGTCAAACGGTTTTGGATCTGGTACACGGACTTTTGGTGGACCTTGACGTTGTTCATTGAGAACATTGGCCCCAACACGCTTTAGCAAGGCTATATCGTCATTAACCTTGTCAATCTTGTCACGCACCGCATCAGACAGCAAGTTTACCTCATCATTGACAGCGTCAATCCTTCCTTCAACAAATTCGGGTAAAGAGTCTACCGAATTTTTCAACGCTTGCACCGTTGCACGAAGATCATCGAGAATATCGTTTGTTGTTCGTAATTTCTCGAAGACCGTCGTCTGCAATGGGGTCTGAGGCGGAGGACCCATCAAATCCTCCAATCTTTGTATCCGTGCTTCGAAGGACAGCATCATTTGTCGATCACTCATCGTTTCCCGATCAGCAGTCAGAACCCAACATGGTCTCTGATACCACTTGTCACAGGGTCTAAAAAGAGGCTAAAATTTTCGCACCTTTAGCACCCTATGCGGCCTGGTTTCCCCCTAAACCAGTCAGCCTTTTTCCTCTCACACTAAACGCACAACTTAATTATACAAAGTCGGAATAGTGTTTAAGTATGCATACAGCAAACAAGCAATCACCCACATGAACATAAAGCAATAAAACAAGGCAACGCAATTTACGGGCTCCACGCCCAACCAACTATATTTCACTAAGTTGGAAAATCACCAAGGCTTGCACACAAACTCACGCGGTATCACTCGTACTCGCGTGCGTGCAGCTCATGGCCTATATATAAAGGCCCGTAGGCAACAGGCAGTTAACAAACCCTAACCGCTAGGCAAGGTAACCGTTGGGCAGTTAAGAAACTGCCTCTATCCAAAGTCTACTCTATACAACCGTTCATAAACGATTTGAACGCGCGGAACCGTTCACCCAACGGTCAAATACCGAAGTATTAAGCAACGCCTTCCACGTGTCCTCCATAACCGCTATGGACACGCGTCGCTCCTTGGATTCATTCAGCCATGCAACGTTGAAGGAATTCGCGCCTAGGCCACGTGGGACATCATAACCGCTTGTCCACGTGCAACCAGCATGCTCATTCAAATTCCTAACCGTTCCCGCCAATAGTTTGGACGTCGCGCCAACACTCGCGCGCCCACCAACGTACGCCGAATAGAACCCGCGCCTTTAGAGTCGACCCCGGTCTACCTTGCGTGCAAAGGCGCCGTACCGCCTCGCACCAATGCCCACGTATCTTTGCATGGCCATGCACAACCAGCAAAGACTCGACTGATCCCATGCTCAGTCTACATCAACTCGGCCCTGCAACCCAACATCCGCGCCAAGCTAGCCCGGTACCTTTCCCGTGTTGATGTTCTCGTTCCCTTATCCCTCACCGCGCACACGTGCTCAGTTTCTTGACCCTTGGCGCACATAAGGGAAATACGCCAAGGTCCAGCCCACTTTTCGGGTCCGTTACACCACGACTCAGTGCAGTCATCTTCTCTCATCTTCATTTTTCTTTCCCACCGCCAGCCGCCGTTCGCCGCCGCGACCACCTCTCTCTCATTGGTAAAACATTGCGATTTACATATTATATCGTGCGTTATGATAGGTAGTATCTATACATGTTAACAAATTTAAGAATCGGTGTCGGAAAAGCCAGAACGAGCCATTAACTGCCAACACCCGTCGCGTCGAGTGTGCCGTCGTTCGGCGCTGTCGGAACTTTGTAAATCGTGTACTGAATTCAAAGCTTTGTCTCTAGCTTCGTGTGTGTGAGCGGTAGGTATTCTGTCTGGCTGTATTTTGGGACTGAAATGATTACAGTTGAAAGTTCAGGGACGAGCTTTAGAGAGTTTGATAATGTTTTGGGACCTAAATGTTATATTTTAAGTTTCTATTACTATATCTAGCTGTGCACTGTCTCTCCGGATTTATGCTGTTTGGACCCTTGGAATGTAGCTAGCTATTCGTAGCTCCAGTGTCTTGGCTTTCGGTAGGAGCAAGAATCAATCGAATATCTATTTTCTAGTAAAAGTTAGTTCGTTTTACACTGACTGTGTATAGTTGCCTGTCCAGATTTTCAGCAGCAATTCTGTTCAGTTGAAGCTTGTTTTCACCATTTTTACGTATTCGTTCATGTTTGAAGTTTACATAAGAGTTTTAGATGTGTCTTGGCATTATATTGGAGCAAGAATTACTTCAATTTTTGTTTTCTAGTTGAATTATGTTTTTTAAACGAACACTGGACCTGACTGTTTGCTGTCACGTTTTGCAGTCAGCAAGGTTGGTTTTTTGCTTTCTTTATGGAGTTTCTGTACCAGTGTAGAATTGTTAATTCCAGTGAATACCATTTTGGGCTTGTATGTTTGCAGAAGCTTGCGTGGTAGTGCCTTGTTCTATTAAATCTTAGTAACTTAAAGAAGCTCTCACAATAGTGCATTGTTAGTTTAGACCAGTGTTTTTAAAAGCGCAATTTAGCGCGCTACATAGCACGAAATAGCGTAAATTTGTTCGAAAACGCGCCATGCGTCTGTAATTTTGCGTAGTTCCAACAAAGCGTACGCTTTTGATGACGTGGCACGCAGTTTACGCTATAGCTTAAATTACGCACGCCATTTGGGACCCTTAATTAGTTTCCAATTTTTATAGGCAGATCGAAGGCAACGAAAGTCACAGTCAGAATTCACGAAACCCTCATTTCACTTCTCTTCATCATCTCCCTCTCGTCCCTCCACCGCAGCCTCCACATATCCACCACAGCCCGGCGAGAGTAGGAACTCCGCCGCCTCCACGGCTCCACCTCAGCCTCCTCATAAGCTTCTTCTCACATCGTCTGGTTCCTCGACTCTCTCTCTCGCCTCTCGCCCGACTATCGGCACCCCCAAAGTCCCTTCTCTCGGCTCTCTGTATCCTACATCCTCTGCTCCTCGACTTTCGACTCCAAAGGTGTCATTTTGTTTTTCATTCGAGATTATGAATAGCTTCACAGAACTTCAATTGAAATTGGGCCTCTTCTAGTGAATGATTTAGATTTTTTTTAATTGGAATTATTATTTATTAAATTAATAGAGTGGGATATAAGGAATGATTGAGCTGTATGTTTTGAGGATTGCATCTTTTTGATGTGTATTTGCCTATTTGCTGACTTGTTGGTTGGTCTGATGGCTNCATAGAACTATAAAAATATGCAACTCTGTTTAATTTGATGATTCCATTTTTTCTCAAGAATATGCAGCTCTGTTTTATTAGTCAGTAGACTCAGTACTCAGTATGGAACATATAAGACTATTATTAGTGGAAATCTCCCACACTTTGATAGTATTGACGATGATAGCTAAAATCAATTGGATGAGACCGATTTACCTTGAAGATTATGACTTTGGGTTGGGTTGTTTGTATGAACTAATATATTAAATGTTTTTTAGATTTAATGTCCAAGTTTATGGTTTAAGACTATTTCAATTATTTATTTACTTGCATGGTTATATATATTATTATTTTTGGCATTAAAAGTGAACTGCTCGAATAGCTTACGCAATGCGCTACGCTATTTACGCTACGCAATATAAGGACCAAAACGCGACGCGATGCGCGATGCGCATTTTAAAACACTGGTTTAGACATAGTTATACTTACTCTGATACAGTTGACTTGTATATTATTTTTCCATATTCTCATTTGGGGCGTGAAAAATACACCTATAATCAAATTACAAATTTTTTTAATATAACAAACTCATTTATTTGGATGTGGTCTAAAAATCAAAAAAATTCTTTAGCTCATTTCTTTCAGATGGCTCTCTTTACTCCAAACTTTTCTCTCAAAGTTTCAACCTCTACTGTTCCTCAACGCCGTCGGTTTTTGGTATCCCAACGTATCTCTCCTCCAAGGGCTTCCATTGCAGTCGAGACAACTTCATCCTTCACTGTCGATGGCGGTGCTCCAAGGGTCCTCCTCGAAGTCAAAGACCTGTCCGCCGTAATCACCGAGTCCAAGCAGCCTATCTTGAAAGGTGTTAACCTCACTGTCTATGAAGGAGAGGTACATAATTTTTTTAAACTCGCGGTCTGTTATTTTTTCTTGGCTGAAATCAAGCATAATTTCATAAAGGATGGCTGTAATATATGTTTGTGATATATTTATTCACTTAAATAGGAAAGTTGAAATTGGAATTTAGGAATGTAAATAGTCGAAATCGACTCCCTCAAAGTAGTTGTGCAGAGTGATGCAATGAGTGTTTGATTTTTGGGATCTAATGTGGTTGTTGAATTTGAAAGGTTCACGCAGTGATGGGGAAGAATGGTTCTGGGAAGAGTACTTTTGCAAAGGTTAGTGATGCTTTTGGGTACGTATGTCGTTTTTTAGGTGGATGGATACAGTATATGAATCGAGATTTCGTATTAAATATAGTGTTGGATATGACTGTTTGATTATTAAACTGCACCAGGTTGAGCTTGTACACCCTTGTAATATTCATTTGGATTCTACAACTTTGTGGATTATATTTGTCTCATTGGAATCAAAGTAAGCCAAGAGAAACTCGTAGTTTCAATATATAGCTTTAGACTAAAATTGTATTTGTCGACATATTTATTTGACATATAAAATTATGATATTAAACACCAATTCCATAGCATATCTATTTTACTTTGATCATGCATGTGGTGACTTTGTTACTTGGTGACGTTGGGCATTAGATGTCCAATTTAACAAGTATTATTTAGTTGAGGTTTTTTGTCCATTGCAAATGGAGCTAGAAGAGTCATTGTTGACAATTCTCCTGGCATAGTGCTAATAATGGACTAGATCAAAATGACTCACTTAAATTCTAGTGCTTCTTCTAGTAGTGAAGTTTCTAGAAAAAAATATATCAAACGGCGCAATGCACCTTGGGTCGCTACGGAAACAACCTCCTTGTATAATTACAAGGGTAAGGTCTGCGTACAACTGACCCCCCAGACCCCAACCTGTTGGGAATATACTGGGTATGTTGTTGTTGTTGTATTTAGTTGAGGTTTTTAGTTCACTTGGGAAAATTGAAGGTATTCATTTTTTTATTGTGAAGTTACTAAGTTGTCTTTGTTTTAACTTGTAAGTTATGTTTCAGGTGCTTGTTGGCCATCCGGATTATGAAATTACTGGAGGAAGTGTATCATATAAAGGACAAGATTTGTTTGAGATGGAACCTGAGGAACGAGCTGTGGCTGGCTTATTTATGAGCTTCCAGTCTCCAGTTGAAATTCCTGGAGTAAGCAATATTGACTTCCTGAACATGGCATACAATGCCCGAAGGAAGAAACTTGGATTACCAGAGCTTGGGCCAATTGAGGTAGCATATTATTTATTATTTTATTTCTTATTATCGTATTTTTATGATAATTAATTTGCTTCATATTTGTAGAGGGGACAATTCTAGAACTCTCATTTTGAAGTTCTTTCATATTATTGAGAGAATAGTAATAAATTGGTTTATGAAAGAAGAATGAAACACTTTAACAGTGATTGAATATGAAATGAAAAGGTAATAATTGAAGTCGATTTGATATAAAATAGTAAAAGAGTGATGGTAATTAGAGTTATGTGAATTGGTGATTAGTGAAACTTGAGGAAAAATGTATACTTATGATTAGTGATTGTATTATTTTTTATTAATGAGTTGAAGTGAGTAGCGAGACAAAAAATTGAAAGTGAATGAATTATAATTTCATACCTTTGGCACAGAGATAAAAAAAATGTCAGAAGATTCTCTAGGTGAAATGGTGACCGGGTGCGCCTGTAACAATTCATATTGGAGAAAATTGGATAATGTTGATACGAGACCATGGAGATATAATTATCTAACACAAAAAAATCCTAAAAATATATGAAATATGAGGTTTTTGATGTTTATTGTCCTCATAATTTTTTTCGTGCAGTAAAAAATCCTTTCTAGTATGTGTTTTTGTTCTTAATTTATATATACATATCTGATTCAACTGCCTCTCCTTTTCGTTAGTTCTCTTTTTTTGCGTGAGAGTTACATCTAATGCAATGCAATTTGAAGTATACCAAGGGATATGTTTATATTTAAAGTCATTATTGAAAAATGAATTGTTGCAGTTTATTGTCCTCATAATTTTTTTCGTGCAGTAAAAAATCCTTTCTAGTACGTGTTTTTGTTCTCAATTTATATACATATCTGATTCAACTGCCTCTCCTTTTCGTTAGTTCTCTTTTTTTTTTTTTGCGTGAGAGTTATATCTCATGCAATGCAATTTGAAGTATACCAAGGGATATGTTTATATTTAAAGTCATTATTGAAAAATGAATTGTTGCAGTTTTACGCCTACGTGGCACCTAAGCTCGAGCTTGTGAATATGAAGATCGACTTTTTAAACAGAAATGTCAATGAAGGATTCAGTGGAGGAGAAAAGAAGCGCAATGAGATTTTGCAGCTTGCGGTACAATATCTATGGACTCTGTAACTTTGGTCATTTTCCTAACCCTTCAAAAGCTGTTTTCATAATGTTCTTTTGTGATCAGAATTCCTCTGAGCACTTATGCCTGACAATTTGGCTGATTCTCGAAATCTTTCGGCTACAGTCGAAATTCTGTTGCCAAATTTTCTCTACTCTGTCATATTTTCTCAGTGGAATGTAAGAGTTGACGCTATTTCCAAGTGTCCTCGGTAAATGTTGGAGTCGGAATAAACGTACATTGAAAAAAGCATTTCTTTTATCCAGGTTCTCGGTGCAGAGTTGGCTATTTTAGATGAAATTGATTCTGGTTTAGATGTAGATGCTCTTCGGGATGTAGCAAAAGCAGTTAATGGGCTCCGAACTCCGAACAATTCAATCCTGATGATCACTCACTATTTACGCCTTTTAGAATTCATAAAGCCGACCTATATCCATGTCATGGTAAGAAAGTATATACTTTTTCCCTTGTGTTCATGTATAATTATGATACTGAAGGTGTAATTAAAAAAAAATTGCACTTAAGGTTCAATCTAAACTACAGAAAAAAACCCAACTCTATTTCGGAATTTTTCAAGTCGCCCTGGATTAATTGCATGATTGCACAAAGTGCAAGAAAAGTAGATATTTCTAGAATTTGAAAGATGAATCGACTTTGAACTTGTAACCGTAGAATAAATTTTGTTCTGTAGTTGTCGTGTAAAAATGATACTATTATGCTGATTGCTGAGAATGAGAGACAATTATGAATTGCAGGAGAATGGCAGGATAGTGAAGACTGGAGATATATCCATTGCCAAAGTATTGGAAAAAGAAGGCTACAAGGCGATTTCTGGCTAACCTTTTGGATGAAGATTTATACTTCTAATTTTGCTCGTTCGACATTGAAAATGGAGTGNCGTATACTTCTAATTTTGCTCCTTCGACATTGAAAATCGAGTTTTTTCTTTTTTTGGGAGGAAAATCCATTATGGATGGACCAAAATTAGTTGACGACGAGTATTAGTAGTGTGATAGCTCATCTGTCTGTGCAGTTAGATGTTTGTAAATGTATATTAAATACAATTTTTCCTTATTGTCATCTCTTTGCGTTCTTTTCTTTTTTCGTGAAACTTTTAAACTGGATCGTTTGAGTTTGTTCTCCATTAAGACGTAATGGAGTTGGGAATTTAAGATTCTTCAAATTTTGCAAAACATACCCATTGGTCTTCTTCCAATAACGAGCTAGACAAGTATATTTTGTGGACTGCAACCGTGTGCATTGTTTTGCAAACGTCCGAAACTTGCTTTTTCAATTGCCAAAATAAATAAAAAAAGTTTTGCAAATGTCAAAAACTTGTTTTTTTTCATTGCCAAAATAAATAAAAATAAATAAATTAAATTGCATACCACGTTTGCGAATTTAAAAAACTTATGTCTTTTATTGTTAAAATAAAAATAAAAATTTAAAATTAAATTGTATAACAAGCGAAATGTTGAAATTTAATTTTTTATAACCATTTGAAACAATAAAGTACACATATTTTTTAGGGTCTTTCCCTTGGGAAGCTCTTTCCCCCACACAGTTCTGTATTTATTTTTAGGGTCTTCATCAGAAATATGGTCACTGCCGTCCGAGTCAACTTTCCTTTCCTTCCTAGTTTGTTTCGTCCTCTCATGTTGTTTAAAGTCATCATCCGAGCTGTATTTATTGCGGGAATTCTGTTTTCTGCTGATCAACTTTTTACTCTCCCGTGCATGGTCTCCTTCAGAGCTGTCATCTTCAGAATCGTGCCGCTTACTTTTGGAAAAACTCTTTGGTTGTTGCTTTCCACTTTTCGAGCTTCTTCTAGACTTGTGGTCAGCATCAGAATCATACCGCCGACGGGCTTTCTCATAACCTTTGTCTCAATCAGATTCTGACTCAGAGGAACTAGTGACATGTCTTGCAACTTTCTTATGTTTACTTGACAGTTCTTTCTTTCTCTTCCTAGCAACAATGTCGGAATCATCACTACTATCGTCAGCTCTAACCTTTTTCTTGTTCCTTCCTCTAGTCCCATGTCTCTCAATGCTATCCGAATCGGATGAGTCGTCATGGCTTCTTTTGCTTTTTTCCTTACTTTGGTGCTTTGTTTTGTCTCTACCAGATTCAATCTTCTTTGAAACCTTCACATCTCTTCTGTCCTTTTTGTGTATATTTCTAGGTTCATCTTCAGTGAGACCCTCTACAAATTTGCCAACCTCTATAACACGGAGCTTCTTTTCTCTATCAGCTTCAGATTGTATTCCAAGAGCAGCCTTTAAAGTTTCCATCTGCTTTTCCTTCCGTGCAGCTACCTGGTGGGTCTGTGTCTCTCATATCCTAACCACACAAAACATAGAATCATAAAAGCTGGGAAAGCTATTTGTAGATATATAAATTTTATATATTATACTGATAGTCTTTATTTCCTCAAGTTTAAATTCAAGAGCTCTCAAGAATCAGCTCGAGAAGATGCAAGATTGCAAGGTGTTCTTGAAGAACCAAAAATCTGGGGGGGAAGATGGGGGGAAAGCCTTTGAATTGCATTAATCAATACAAGAACAGCCTTTAGAAGACCAAAGATCTATTATACAAAGAATACCAGGCATTCATGTCAATGTGTCAATGTTATCAATGGCGGCAGATTGAAGTCCCACCAAAAACTGCATCCTTCCCAATTTTCTCAGGGCAATTAGGTTCCGGAAGTAGCTACATGGCATCACGATGACCACCATTTGGTAATACTGATTCAGGTTCTACACGTTCTTGGAAAATTGCAGCATTTTATTCGAAATCAGAACAAGGTGGATTATATGTTGGCCCTCATATTTTCTTTATTTCAATGAAATTGCGTTAGATTGTTGAAAATCAATTCATACAAAGTTTTTGCATTTACAATAGTAGACAAGCTAAAGTGGGGAAGTTTCAAACCGGGATGGCATCAAAATGTCATAGGATCTTCTCCAAAAACTCGTTTGAGCTCAAATCTCCACCAAACCATTTTTAAGACCCCTAACAAGCAACCAAAAATTTCCTCGAAGGCTGCAACTGATTCTAATAAAACCATCTTCACTTCAAATACTCAAACGAGACAAAAAATGATGAAACACACACCTTATGCTTGCATATAATTGGAATAACAAACAAACAAATACATAAATGAAATTTCCACCAAAAGGAAGAAGAACCTACTTTTCAGATGTCACGAGTGCATTATCTCCCCCTTCCTCATTCTCCTTCGCCTCGAGCGATTTCCCCGCCTCATCCAGCTTCTCCTCGATCTCGGCGTCCGTGTACCCCTGATCTGACAGCTTCTCCTACAGCACGAGGAGCTTGAGCTCGATCTGCCGCTTGGCGCTTGCGGTCGTGCTCCAGTATCTCCTTGTTGGGACCCCGGGTCACGCCCGCCGCCCCCTGGCCCGATTCGAAACCCTTGCTCGGGCCGGTGACGGCTCGGTTCGCCTTCGCCCTCAGGTTGAAGGCGTTCGCCTGAACGTAGCCGCTGGTGCCGGAGCCCCGAGGGGTCTGCAACCCTATCCCGTTGTACATCGTCAGGGATCCAAATCTCGATCAGATTTCAACGCTTGTGCAAATCAATCGAGGCTTAATTGAGAGTGGAAAATTGGATGAACAGCCGACGAGGAGAGGTAAGCGTTGGGGCATATTCACATGGGCGGTAAGAGGATAAAATGGGTCGTTGATTTGGGCTGAAATTCATTGGGTCAGACATTGGATTGGGCTATCTCACTAATGGGTTTGTTACTTGTGCTACGACGAGAGCTGTTCTATAAAATTTATAAACTTGTATTACGTAATATGAAAGATTGTACATCTTCCTTTAGTCGTGGCCCGTACGCTCTAAATATAAGTTCCTCCAATCATCCCAAAGGAAGTTCGTCCTAGTGATTTCGCAAATTAATTTTCAATAGTGTCCTCGTTTAGTTGTGGCTCACACTCTAAATACAATTTCCTCTAATCATTCCAAAGGAAGTTCATCCTAGTGATTCCGCAGATTAATTTTCAGTACTGTCCTCATTTAGTCGTGGCCCACACTTTGATTAATATCCATCACTGACAAACCGATAAATGGAGGCGGTATGATTTTTAAAATTATCATAAATTTACAATTTCCTTCTTTAAAAGTGGATTTTTAATATGCAATTAAATTAATTCACATGCCACCTTAGCAATTTAATTAATTATTTAGCTTTTCATATTAACAATTAACTAGTATTCGACCTGTGCATTTGCACAGATATAAATAAATTATTGTGAGTTTATATGCGTATAATGATTAATTATTTTTCTTTCACTTTTTTGCAGACCAAATTTACAATTAAAAGAGTTGAAATATTTTTTTTTTAAAATTGCGTTTATCTGATTGGATGTAATGTATATTTTGGTACGTCTTTTATTTGTGAATTATTTATTATTTATTTAGGAATTTTAAATATATTTTTTATTTAAAAAAAAGAATTAAATGTTACAACAATAATAACATCTAATCACATTATACGGTCAACACATTATATGGTCAACTGTCATTAATAAAAAATTTAAAATGATTTTTACAATTTTGAAGTGATGAGTATTAATTATTTAATGATTAAATGAAAGATTAAATACATCAAAATGTAACGGTTTTTGGAGGGAAAATTATTAAATTGCCACATAGGTAAAATTAAATAGGTTTTATTAAATGTTTTGAGCTAGTAAATATATATATATATATAGATTCCCATGCATATTTGGCAGTGTTAATTAATCACATGCATATCTAAGCAATTAATATCAAATAATAGAACATGGAAATAAAACATCCATTATTTTGTCCATTACTTTAGGATCCTTTCCAGTTAGAAAACAATCAATCTCTTCCTATCGTGACACATACTCCATATCAGAAAAGAACTACAAAGACAACAAACTTTTTCTCCAAGTAAACTCTTTCACTGGAATTTCCACGTCCATAAGGAAGAAATTTAATTTGCTCTACATTACTTGGTAAACCTTTATGTGGGTACAAGTAACAAAATAATAAACAAATAAAATGTCATCCACACTACTCGATACATCTTTCGGTGAGGTACAAGATTAAGCAGTCATAAATTTCACACCACATTACTAGGTAAACAGTTATGTGAGTGTTAAGTACAAGTAACAATATTGTTTATATTACACATTTATTATTATGACTTGGAGTTATTTTTCTTAATCATTAGTAACACATAAAAAATTATTGTAATATCATTTTACTAAGTATTATTAATTATGACAGAACTTTACTTGTCAATAATAATGGTAATAACAAATTAATATAATGTTATAATTTTATGCAAAATATATTTAGTATATAGAATAGAGCGCACTTGTTGATAACATGTTATAAATACGGAGAAAAAATAAGGAAATGAGTATAGAGACAAAATATAAATTATACCGATTTTATTCTCGTCGGCGTGTACTCTTCTGTTGCATTAGCTATACCTTTTATAGGCAAGCATTACCAACACAAATTTCAATTTCCCACTAACTCTACTATTTGCAAGTCATCTCTAGTGGTAAGTACAGTGTTCACAACATGAATAGAATATAAGGTCGATAAAAAATCACCAAAACAANGAAAAAATCCACCTGACATAAATTGCCCCAGCCCAGCTAAGTTGTCAAGACAGAAAAAATAGATCGAGGACTGACCTCTTTACCATCAAAATACTCTTTCTAACACAAATTACCTTTGAAAAAAATCTGACTTGCTCCAATCCGACAAATTACAAAAACTATCTTTGACAGAATCCAATTTGTAGAAAACAGAAATAAATTATTAATGGGACTCAAATATTAATGATGAACTTGTATTACACACACACACACATATAGATATGAGCTTTTAATATATGCTCATATATATAGCTATATATCAAGGATGGACGTCAAGGATATGCTTGTAAATTTTTATTACTTCCCCAAAATGAACGCGTAAATTTCATCCCAACTCGAAACCGTATAAAGAATATTAGACGTACCCTTTGTATTAAAAACGCCAATTTCCGTAAGTTCTCTCTGTTTACTTACTAAACCAGAGAATAACGGGACAAACGAGACACCATAGTGATTCCCCAGCTTCATTAGGCTTGTTCCCGAGCCTATGACAATGCCAATATCTGCCTCTAACAGACAGAGCAAGTCACCAACCGAACCTCCAATGTAAACTGTGGATGTCTTAGTATTATTTGTGTTCGATTTTGCAATGTCATTAAATGCACGAAGCTTGTCCATAGGTGATTCCATTTTTGTGATCATGTTGCCCGTGGAGATAGATTCTTCATAAACTAAGTCGTTGGAATGTACATTTAACGTAATTTGCTCATCTGTGTTGGGAGAAAAAAATCATGATTGAATTATTAATGGGTAAATTACGAAATTTGTCTCAATCATAAGGTTTGCATTAATAATGTAAGATTTCTAGCTATCGTTTGGGATAACAAGTACAGCTAAAGGGAGTATATACAGCTTCATAAGAACATTTATATGTGCTTTAAAAAAACAAAAGAAAAAAGGAAAAGGCAAAAGAATCAAACTTTTGCACAATTTGTGACATTAAAGCAATCATGAGCACTTGTTTAATTGAAAGAAGATTGGACTTTTTCAGTCATAATACTGAAATCCCAAGGAGTAATTATGGTGACTAATCCAAAGCAATTTCCATATTTTCTTGGGATAGTTGCAAAAACCCCGACAAAGATAAAGAATGGATTTTTTAAAACAAAAAAAAATTACAAAGTATAATCATCGACTCATCTTAAATTTGAGCTGTTGAAATGCATTTTTCTTACTTTTCTTCAACTTCCATATATTAGGGGGGATGGATGGGTGTTGAAATGCATTTTTCTAATTGAGGAATAAATCCCATTTCCTTTTATGGAAAATAGAGAGTGAACCACAAGTTTCAAGCGTATATTGTGATTACAAACCTGATGAAAAAGCAGACTTGATAAGATCACCCGACCAACAGTATGACAGCACATGAACATCCATCCTCGGATTCTTACTTTCCTTCAAATCCTCAAAGAATTTTTTACATCCTTCTTGAAAAGCCAGTTTCTCGCCAGCTCTTTTAACCTCCGTTCGATTTAGACCTTTCAACACATTACTACGCACCATTCTTGAGGTTGCATCTTTCTCGACTTCCGATATTTGCTCTAGTGCTTTGCATAGACCTTCATAATTGAGTCCATTACCTGCAAATAGATTAAAAAAATAACAGTTACACATTTGTCTTCCTTATCAACTAACATAAGGTAAATAACAAAACAATCTTTAAAGTTTAGTCTAAATATTCGGCCTGCGGAGAACACATACGACAGAATCAAACATTACTTTTGCCTTCTTTTTATTAAGTAGATTGATAGCGAGGGAAATTGTTGTAACTTATATATGATAAATGTGCTTCAATAATTAACCAAACCTCGATCAAATTGCTCAATTCCTGCTTCAACCGACATAATTTTATCAATGCATTGCTGATATTCTTCCACATACTGGCTGAAAAGAGCGTTCCAAGTTGACCGAACATCCTCAGACTCACAAACATCGGTTGCCGCCAGTATTGCCAGCTCAGCCAATAGAGCAGAAGAGTCGATGGCTGTGCACGTCAGGTCAAAGTCGCAAAAAATGACAAGATTACCCTCCTGGCCGGCATAATCGGGCTTGTGGAGACGCGAAAAGGGGAGTATGGTTTTCTGAGCAACTTGTTGAGACCATATGAACTCTAACTCGAGCTTCATGGCTCGATGGTAAAGCCTTTCCACCACATCTAATTCTTCCCCAGTCAAAGATACACTCAATTTGTCGAGCAAGTCCTCAATTCTTGCTGCCGATGCCTAAATTTAAGTTGGAGCAAGAAAATGCACATGAGAAGTAAGAAAAAAGAACCACTATATTCCTTTTAATCACAGAAAAGTTGAAAATTACCAATTTCTCAAAATTAAAAAATGACCATTAATATCCATCTGTCGTATTTGACAAATTGAACCTTCATGGTGTTGGTGTATTTGTTAAGCAAACAAGAAATGCGTAATTGATCTAGTAAAATGAAGCTTTAGTGAAAGTTCTGCTTCCATATTAGTCAATCGCACAAATTACCGGTGAGGTTGAGACTTCAGAATATATATACAAAGAAAAGGAAAGAAAATACCATCTTTATTACTCTCTTCCCTATTTTTACGGAATGCAGACTCAATACGTGATACGTTAAATGCAGTATGTATAGTTTGGAAAGATTATTCGTTTAATAACTGTTTATTTTGTAATTATGCCAAACCTTGCAGTTCCTTTTGGTCATTTACCCTGTTTACAATCTCTTCATCTAAAAGTAACAAATCCCAAGCAATTATTTATAAGGACACATTAACATAATTGACCGACAATCAAGCATCATCAAACAAACCTCGAACTTTTGAGAGGATAAACTGTCGAGCCACTTTTTGTAGACGTGATTACTCTCGTTGGGGTCAAGAAGAGCTTGGATCTCTTTACTGATAAAAGAATAGAGCCTCATGCATGGAGAGATCACGCTCAGAGTATAGGCAGCAAGTTTAGTCTTCTCAAAAGGTGTAACAATATTAACAGAGAATTTCTCTCCCACGATTTTACCCGAGGCTGTCTCCATCAAGAATTCCGTGTATTTGGCTGTTGCTTCATCTCGAGAACACTCTTTGGGTGGCTCAAATCCCCACTCCTGAAAAGTATCAACGAATGAAGTGATTTTAGAGAACGTCTGTTGTTAATATGGGTTATAGCAAAAGTTTTTCCCTAAACGAAAGGAAAGACAAAAAATGCAGGAGAACAAGATTGTGAGAAGTGTCCAAAAATAATGCTCCGAAAAATGTAGCTCATATTTAGCTCTGGACTACTGAGTCTCACACATATTGAACTTTTTTGAACAATCAACTAAACTACTCCTTTGAATAAGCCATATCGCAACAAAATCCAACTATTTGTGACAATTGCATGCACCCCCTTAATTTTTGTTCCCCTAACAAATACGGATGATGGATGCAATTTGTAAAAGTAAAACAAAATCCCAAAGGGTTCAGCTTTCAATTTTTTTAGGACAGACTCACTCAGAGATAGTTTTTGCAACGCCATACGATGAAAAATGAGAAGATGAAGATAAGATGTTTGATCCATTACAGATATAAGTTTATCTTGATTCCTTAACCGTTTCAAGACGCGCTTTCTCAATTTGCCAATGGCATCCTTGTCCTCATCATCATCTGCATATTCCTCTGCTAGCTCATACCTGCACGCGACGCGATAGCAAATCATAAAGGATTTTAGGTGCGCGCGTAAAATACCACAAGCTCTAATTTTTCTCTAATAAAATGGAATTGTTAGTTTCGTAGGCTTTTCACATGCATCTAACAAAATATTTTGCAACTATTATTGTAATCCAGAGAAATGCTCCTATGTGCTACTTTTCAATCAGCAATTCCCCACAAATTACTTCTCCCTTTTGGAATTGAAAGCCAAACCTGTTCAAAGAAAGGTTCTATCTATAGTAATTTTTCTCAGCTGTCACCAAAAAATAATCTGCCATAACTATCAAAAAGAACAGATTATACTTGCAAAGAATGGATTTGTTATTAAACAGCAAAACATCAATATGATCACAAAACACAAGCACACACACACACACACACACACACACACACACACACACACACACACACA